TRGCACCAACTGTTATTGCGGTAGCCGCTGCTGCGGATTGCTGACCGRCTGCTGGCCAGCGATGTACACTATGGCACGCTGCTGGTGATTGTTGGAGCATTGAGGTCATTACTGCTGGCCGCCATTGAATACGGCTGGTGCTGCTGCGACTGAGGAGGACCTTCTACTATTGGGGGTGCGCAGGTGCTGCCGCTGTTGCTTGTGCACTACTGATACGTCTGCGTGCGCGCTGCTGTCGCGTCCGTAGGCAGATTGCATACTSCTACTGGTGATTGYCATTGCTGGTGTTCGTTGCAGCTGTTACTTTTGACCGCCGCTGTGTACTGYTGCGGTGTGCGGACGATGGCTGCTGTTTGCTACTGTAGTTGCTGTTGACAAGCTGTTACTRTTACAGTTGGCCGCCGCTGAGTACTACGACGGCTCCTATGGGCTATGGTGGGTTGCTGTGCGGCTGGGGTTGGACTGCAAGAGGTTATCTGGTGTTGCAGCGTGGTAGAGTGGTGGCAAGAGGAGGTAATGCTGCGAACTAGGAGGTCGTCGGGAAGGGTTACTTCAGCAATTGAGTTTGTTGGCCAAGCACAGATTACAACTGCATACTGTGCGCTGCTGCTGCTGCACGCCAGGACTGATACAGAATGTTGGCTCGGAGGGGTAGTTGAGCTTAGGGTGGGGACCTGGCTCTACGGGGTGGGGGCCGCCGGGAGGGGCTGTTTCGGTAGGTTGGGTTTGCTGATCAAGCTGTCAGTAGGCCGCCATTGCGGGGCCCTCAGGCGAACTAAGATAACAAGGCCCCCTCACGCGAGTCTAAGTGCACCCCCCTGAGAGTCTCTAAACCTTCTCTATCTGCCCTTCTTACTCCAAGTCTAGTCTATTAGTTACGAGGGGAAGGCGGCAGGTGGGATTGCAACCCGTAGGTCCGCATCAAGACTCTGTGGGGAGCCCGCCCACCGATTGCGGGAGCTCTGCCGGAACCTAGGCGAGGTTCTGGAGGCAGGGAACCATCAGGTAACTCCTTTCTGTCTGTATACTCCCAGTACACCCATGTTGGCATGTCCCCCCCAATGGCTGATTGATGTATGCCTGCCTGTCCCTATAAATCTTGCTTTCTATTCAGGACATAACCAGACAAAGTAAAAGAACGCATGTATAAAGTTAAGTTTCAACTTCTTTGACTGATTGAAGGCAGATTGTGGGATTGCATCTGGGGGAAGGGTGGGAGAAAGACAGTATTGCATGGAGTTTGACTGGGTCAACCAAAGGCTAGGCCAGTTCCATAAGTTTGGGAGGGCCCAGTGCTGTGTTTTATTTTGTATTGCCTGGAGAACCAGACCAATCCATAAGTTTGGGTGGTCTGGTTGCTCTGACTTGTGAGGGCTGAATGTGATTGCTTCTTCAGGCGCCAGTCAAATCCATAAGTTTGGGTAGTCTGGCGGCCTTGTTTATTTGGGGTTTTTGACAGTTTCTTTGGTTTCTGAACGAGGAGGTGAACATGTCCCATAAGTTTGGGTGGTTCTACTTCTTCCTGCTTTGGTCTAAGAGAAATAAACCAGGCTGAGGACCAAGACATGTTCCATAAGTTTGGGTGGTCTTGGTCCAACGCCTCGCACATGCTGGAACCATAAGGCTATAACTTTGATATACTCTACTATTATACTATCTATGAACAGGCTAGTCAGGCAGGGTTCCATAAGTTTGGGTAACCTGACTATAGCTTATCACCAACTGAAGAGAGTACTTAACTAAGAATAAACTTGTGGTACGAAGGGGCAGGCTGGGTCTTGAGCTGAAGATGATCGGCTCAGCTATATGCTACCTCAAAAGACTAAGTACANTAACTAAGAATAAACTTGTGGTACGAAGGGGCAGGCTGGGTCTTGAGCTGAAGATGATCGGCTCAGCTATATGCTACCTCAAAAGACTAAGTACATGCAATTATATAAACCTTGGATACTTAAACAGTTCAGGGCGGCTAGGGTAGCCTAGTCATATACCCAAAGAAGAGAAAAGTTGTTGTGCCCTGTGTTTGTGTATACATCTTGGCTGGGCTAGACATGTTCCATAAGTTTGGGTGGTCTAGCCTTATGCCCTATGTAAGCTGGGTATAAGGGAYAAATCATTGAAGGACTACGAACTATTGTTTGCTAAAGTAACTTGGGGATGGTGAGAGAGTGCATGTCTGTGGTTTGGCTTGCATGTGACTGAGTGATGCCACTTCTTAGTCTGAGTTTGGATTTGATAGGTAGTTGTTGTAGTTGCTCGCCACGTGCTAAAGCCATAGGAGTTAGAGTCGTTTCCTGCATTTTCTGGGCTCGTTTTTTTTACTTACATCAATTTTTGCATTTTATGTGATCTTTTGAGTCGGACTTGGTCTTGTATAAATCTTGGTAAGCCACTTTCCCTACAAGAAGCGCTGTCGAAATTTCTACAAAATCAAGGAGTTAGTCAAAACTTTGACTTTTTCAGGATCCGACCATGATGACTTCTTTAACTTGGTAAAAATGTGAGGAGCCTCCCTTTCTAAAGGAGGTGCTGCCCAAATTTTTACTAATTCAAGGACTTAGCCAAAATTGGGCCCTGAAGGGTCAAATTCATTGTCCGGTCCCAAAACTTGGCCTTGTATAAATCTTGGACTAGCACTTTCCCTACGGGAAGCGCTGCCGAAATTTCTACAAAGCTAAGAAGTTGGTTGAGGTTTTGTCGTGACAGGGCCTAGACGTTATGCCTAAGATCAAGTCTGACTTAGTGTAGATCTGAGGGGCCTTCCTCTCTGAAGGAAATGCTACCCACATTTTTGTTAGGTCAGRGAGTTAGACAAATTTTGACTTTCTGKAATCCAAAGATTTTGGTTTTTKKACTAGTATATTTTCTGCGACGTCACTTTTCCTACGGGAAGCGCTGCCGAAATTTTCCTAAATTAGAGGAGTTAGCTTGTATTTCGACAGGTGGCGACGTACGTAGGAGAGACTATGTCATAGGCTACCTTTGACTTGGGCGCTGGCTAGAGATAAGGCTTAGACCTAGTTAAGTGTGGTGACTTGGGTAAGATCGTGATATGGAGATTATCCTCCATGAGCTTATAGACTTAGCTTGAGATTGACCTATCTTGTGTTACAGGTCTGCTTGATCGATTGATTCAGGAGTTGGGGCTAGATTCAGCTTTGATCCTGTAAGGATCACATTCTGTTATCACAGATAACAGGTCGGTTGCCGACTCGTCGGTTTACGACTCAACCTCAACCCACTCTCCTTACTCAACCTAAAGAGGTTTTAGCCCTGGTGATCTTCTCTGTTTTGTTAAGGTTTCACCCGGACTTTTATTGAATGGCCATTGAACAAAGGTACTGAGTATTTACTTAAGGTTGGTTGGTTGGAGGTTGGGGCTTGCATGGCTGAGGCAAAGGGTATGAGCATAGAGATTGGTTGGAGTTGACTCGATGTAGTGCAAGGACTTCTGTTTGACTGTTTGATGTGATTGCAGGTATGTTCTGTGACTTGGATTATTGGATTGGACTGCCCTGCGATCTAGTATATGTGCATGAGGAGACCCACTGTGATTGTGAGATGTGATCGTCACACGTTCATTCCCATATGTGTGCATATGTGTGTATATGTCTATGTATGCGTATCTATGTAGGGTACTTGTGTGGCCTGAAAGGGGCCGCGTGCTAAGGAGTTAATCAGGGGTTCGGCTAGTAGAGAAAGGATGACCCCGTTACTTATATAAGTGTTTCTTGGAGATTGCTAGTCGGACGTTGGTCCTGGGCCGGGATTCAAGGCCCTTGTCCAGGACATCCCAAGCCCTAGGCCCTGCACTGAAGGGGACCCCCCTCGGGCAGAGCCTATTTGCCTTGACCGCCAGGGCACTCGGGCCGAAAGTCGGACGTGCCGCGGCGACCGCACGGCTAGTCCTTCAGCCGTGCAATGTCATGAAGGGCGGAACCTTCACGATACTTCGAGTATGACACGTAAGTGTCATAAGCGGTACTCGGATCCACGAGGGACCGCTCGATTATGGGCACTGCATAGTGCACCATCTTCGCGACTGCTTGTGTGCGTTGGCATTGCTAGCCGATATGAGAAGGCCTACGCCCGCACGACTTTATATTAAGTCTCGCTCATGATGCTCAGCCGGTTCCCGCACCAGGAAGTTATGGGATGGACACTAAGGGACTAGGAGGGTGTCGCGTTGTATGTACTTTGCGTCGTTCAGTGCTCGTGTGCGTGTGCGCGTGTGCTTTACCTTGACGTACGTTATAGTGGTGTGCGCGAGGCGTGTGGGATACGTCCTAGTCGACCGGCGACGAGCCGTGCTTGGGACCTCAGCCCCCCAAGATGTCGGTTCGCGTGCGGGTCCGATAGAGGCGTAGAACCGCGTGTACCCCTTATGCTACAGCGAATGAGAAACGCCCTCGGCTGGTCCACCTCTGCGATTGCAGCTGATCAGCTTTCGTACTGTGGATTGGTAGCTCGGCGGGGATACACCCACCGAAGGGAGGTGACAACTCCCGTAAGGTGGAGGTAGTCGTGCCTCGCGTAGGCCCTGTCCTGTTGTAGGGGCTCGCGAGAGGTATGGCTGGCGCACCAGGTCGGAGCGGCTTGTGGAAGCTCCGTGTGTGTACCACAACGGGATGTGTACTCTGACTCCTGCGTGACGCGGCCGGGAGGGTCCCGCGCTACCTCTGAGTGGTGCCGGACCGATCCGCTCGACAGGTGGCGCCGTTGCCGGAGATGACGGTTGCCTGCCGTTGTCCCTGGTGGAACGACATCCAGGTATTAGGATAAGAAAGAAATCAGGCATGAGTGGGGAATTCGAAGTGAGTCTATAGGTAAGGGTATAGGAGAGATTGCATGACTATAGTAACTATGTGGAGAAACTCACTGCTTAGGTAGACCTTGTGAATGTAGGTCTGGGAGCGAAAGGGGCGTGGGTGTCAGTTAAAGTCTGAAACGCCCGAGAGCTAAGTGGTTAGCTCAATAGGCTTATGCTAGAGTGAGTGTGATGAATAAAGTTGCCTGTGTACCTCGTCTTACTACAGGGAAGTTAAGTAAAGGACAGGCTACTAAAATGACAGGCGGCATAGGCGACAGTTCAGGCAAGGTCCTGACCCTCGATGATCTCATCGAGGCGATGGACAAGCGGGATAGAACGCCGAGGAATGTCCCCAAAGTCAACACCTTCCACTTCAATGGGGAACGGGTGTCTGAATGGCTGGACCTAGTAGAGGAAGCCTTGGTGGGAGTACCAGACGAGACGAAATTCAAATGCATCCTGCAGTATGTGCTCCATAAGCACCATCCGGAAGTACAGAAGGTGGTCGACGACGCCAATGGCGACTGGGCTAAATTTAAGGAAGGAATGCAGCGGAAGTATAGGTTGGGGGATGACCTGCTGACTATGGCGGACCTAGAGGCAATGAATAGGGACGACTTCACCACCATTGGGGCATTCCTGCAAGAATTCAAAAAGAAGGCAAGAAAGGTACATGGGATATCAGAGGAGGCGCAGTGCGCCGTCTTCCTGGGACTGCTCACCGCATCTGAGACAGTTTAGCTAACAAGCCATGAGGGAGGAAATGCCAAACTTACCTGGGCCACCATTGACAGAGGGGTGGAGGTTGGAGGCCTCGACCAGGTCGAGCAGCACCAGGTGAGGCTGCAGAGGCAGAAACGGAAGGACAGGGATGCGGCTGGGTCGCCAGGAGTAAAGAAGATCATAACCGACGTATTAGCAGGGCTAGACCCGGTGATACAGCGGAAGGTGACCGCGACAGTCCAGGAAAAAGGCAAGGGAGCCGTGGTAGAGGAGGCTACCCAGGAGGGATGGGAAGAGGAGGAGCCGGTACCTCCACACCTTACGAAGGCGCAGCGTAAGCAGCGCAATCTAGCACAAGGCGGACAAGGGTCAGGAAAGGGCCAGGCACCTCGAGTAGTGGTAGCAGCATCTCCGAGCTCGTCCGGGCCGTCAAGTAGTGCGGGCCCGTCGCAAGCACCAGTGCCACCATTTGGGCACTGGCCGTAGCCCCTAATTAATACCTATGTACCCTGGGGTGGCCCAACGCCGTCTGGACAGGTAATACCCTATGCTGGGCCCCAGGCGAGTATACCACCTCCGAGCTACCCCACCGCCCAGACTCAGCCAGTGGTACCGCCTACGCCAACGCCCACACAAAGTTCACAAGGCAGTGTGGCAAGTGGTGGTAGTCAAGGCCCAGGGAACCAGGGGAATGGGGGAAGGGGCGGTGGACGAGGACGTGGCAGAAATGGCGGTGGCCGAGGGGGCCAATGGGGCAACCAAGGTGGCCGAGGAGGCCAATGGGGCAACCAAGGTGGCCAAGGCAATCAAGGCGGCCAAGACAACCAAGGGAATCAAGGTGGTGGAAGGGCCCGTTTTGACTGGAAAAGTGCTATATGCCAGCACTGTGAGCAGCAGGGCCACACTATTAGGTTTTGCAACATACGGAGAGAGGACGAGAAAAATGAACTGATTTATTCTAATATGGATGGGGACATTTACGACCAATTTGGAGATTTTATTGATAGGAAGGCCGGTGGAGTTAGGGCGGAGGCCCAACGAAGGTTGGCAGCACGACAACCACCCCCTGCCACGTTCAGGCTATGACAGGAGAAGGAGGAACTGCCAGTTGGAGTTGAGGAAGTAGGAAGTGACGAGGAAGTGACCCAGAGGCTACAGGCCGGGGATGTAAGAGAGAAGCCCATAATCATCGAGTCGGACGAGGAGGGTGACGATGAAAAGGTAGAGCCGGCGGTAGTCCTGCTGAGTAAGATGGAGGACTTATTGGACAAGGTAGGGAGATACCAACGGAAGTTGGTAGACCTCTGCGAGGGAGTGAAGGAATGGAGGGCTAACCTCCCCAAGGTCTTCCTTTATGACTCTGGTCCGGAATCCATGCCAGGGCGGCCCGGAGTGACCACTGTGGGGACGGGCCCGCGATCAGGGATGATGACTAGGCCCCCTACCCCACAAGCTAGGCTGGCTCAGGCAGCCCGCACTCGAAGCCAAGCCAAGGCAGGTGCAAGTCAGGGACCTCCTCGGAAGGAACCAGAACCTGAAAAGAGGAAGGAAACTGTAGAGGTAGAGGATGATGATGATGATGAAGGGGAAGATGACTGGTTACGTCAGGAAGAAGATCAAAGGGCCGAACAGCGAGCCAAGCAAAGAGGAAGCCAGGAAGAAGTGGAACCCGTCATGAGGGACGTGCCACCAAAGAGAAAGAAGTATGCGTCCGACTATAGGAGGGGTTTGATGTAGAGCGAGTGATTGACAGGATGCTTGAGGGCCATAATGATCTAGTGACCCTCAAGGAGATCCTGACATCTGCGCCTAGACTCCGCAACGAGTTGAAGGGTAGGCTGTCAAGGCGACTGGTGTCGAACGTCCACCTCAGCGTGATCCTACCCAAGGAGATGGAGTGGGCGGAGCTAGGGACAAAAATGGATTGGAAGTGTGTAGCTTGCGACATAGTGGATCTAGCGGTAAAGGGCTCCAAGTGCACGGCCATGGTAGATACGGGTGCCGAAATGAATATTATCCGGGAGACCGACGCCGTCAGATTTGGACTGGAGATAGACCGCTTGGACTGCGGTATCCTGCATGGTGCCAATAACAAGGCCGTATTTTGTGGAACAACCTCAAATGTGCTACTGGAGATTGGCAGGGTGAAGGCGCGGGCCTGTTTCTTTGTGATGCCTGATGTGGACCACAGTATCCTCCTGGGGAGGTCCTTCCTATGCAGGACAAAGACCTTGATGTATAATAAGCATGATGGGTCCTTGATCTTGATTTTATGTGATCCAGCATGCGGGAATTACGAAGTGATTACCTGCCGGAACACTGGGCCAAGGAGCCTCAGGAACAGGCCCAACCCTGGCTCTTTCACGATTGAGGAGTCAGAAGATGCGCATCGGAGGCTTAGGGAAGAACCCGAGGAGGAAGTAGAAGGAGAAGCCTTCTCGCTCAGCCTGTCGGATGTGGGAAAGGCCATGGATATGGTGGCCACGCACGAGATGACCGATCCGGATGCCATTCAGGCGCTGAGGGAGCAGGTTCTGGAGTACCCCCGGATAGGGGAAATGGAGTTGGTCTACCGGCTTCCTAAGGGGGGAATGGACCCGGCGGTGGCGCAGGCATAGGCACGAGCGGCAAGTCAGCCTTTTTTAGGGGCCGGCTCAAGAAGGGTGTCCAAAGGCGGTACAAAACGATAGACAAAAAGTGCCGCCCAGTTCTTGTTCTGGTTACCGAGGACGAGGAGGTGTACTACGAACGGGAGCGAGCGTTGATACGGCGGATGAGGGAAAATGCGTCAGAAGGGCCATGCCGTATCAATGAGGAAAACGAAGGAAAGTTGATAATGGGGGAACCGGACTTTCTACTACCGCGGGAAAGAGCCCTGATGGTGGAGCTGATGAAGAAAAGACATCGCGTTCAGCGACGAGGAGCGTGGCAGGTTGGGTGTGAACAAGATTTCAATGATCCGCATCCATACCGTGCCGCACGAGCCATGGAATCTAAGAGGGGCGCGATATCCGGATCCGGACGAAGAGAAGAAGGTAGTGGACTACCTCGATGGCAAAATACGTACGCACGTCGCCGACTACTCGAGCGGACCCTACGCATCCCCGTGGTTTTGTTTTATTAATCCCAATGGGACACTAAGGTGGGTACAGGACTTGCAGAGACTGGATGCGGTGACAATGCGGGATGCAGGTGGGCTACCAAATGCTGATGCGCTGTCGGAATCGTGCGCTGGGAGACCGATAATTTCACTTATTGACCTCTATTCCGGATATGACCAATATCCGGTCTACCCGCCGGACCGACCAGTGACAGCTATGCACACGCCTCGAGGGCTTATCCACATGAATGTGGCTCCGCAAGGGTGGACGAATGTGGTGGCAATGGTCCAGAGGAATATGACCCGGGTCATGCAGACAGTTAGTCCACACATCACGCAGCCATACATCGATGACCTGACAGTGAAAGGGCCACGAAAAAGGGAAGACGATGAGGTCCTACCTGGAGTAAGGCGGTTTGTTTGGAGGCACGTTCAGGACCTTGATAAAGTCTTGGGCTTGCTTTAGGAGTACAACCTTACGGCCAGTGGGCCTAAGTCTAAGCACTGTATGAGGGAAATGACTATCTTGGGGTTCGTTTGTAACGAGAACGGCCGACGACCGGATGTTAAGAAGACGGATAAGATAGTTGAGTGGGCGGTGCCATTCCGTTCTGTAACAGATGTTAGGAGCTTCCTAGGTACGTGTGGGTTTTGGAGGTTCTTCGTCAAGAACTCTGCGGCAAAAACAGAGCAATTAAGGAAGCTGGTCCGACAGGATCAGGAGTGGACCTGGGGTGAGGATCAGAAAGAGGCTGTGGCCAACATGAAAGAGGAGTTCCGGGAAGGAGGATTGGTGCTGGGAGCGCCCGATTATGACGCTACGGAGACGAGACCATTTATTGTGGAAACCGATGCAGGACCGACGACCTTGGGTGCAGTTCTAATCCAAGCAGACATCAAGGGGAGGGAGAGGCCGTTGCGCTTTGAGAGTCGCACGCTGTGTACGTAAGAAAGAAACTACTCTCAATTCAAGAGGGAGACTCTTGCCGTCCTTCATTGCCTGCGGATTTTTCGAAACTATATCTTTGGCAGGAGGTTCATCTTAAGGGTAGACCCAACGACTCTGGCTTTCTCCCTGAGAAATTATGTTCCGTCTGATTCAATAGTTACCAGATGGTTGACATACATTCTGGATGTTCAACTTCGAGTTGGAACGGATCCCAGGGAACAAGAACAGGGCAGATGGGCTAAGTCGCATCAACTGGGATAGGCAGGATGGGGAAGCTGTAGAGGATGCGCCTCCAGTTGATGGTTTTCTGGACCAGGACGAGGACATCCGCCTCCACATCAATAAGTGGTCCCCGCGAGTCCCCAGCTGCGTTGACCATCCTATCTGGCACGCGCCTAAGGGGTATGAGCGAAGAGTTGAGTTGGTGCTCAAGCCTTTCGAAGAAGAGGATCCCTGGGGTGGTAAGGACGTCCAATGGATGACTAAGTTGGCACTCACAGGTAGTCATTGTATGGTGGATGAGGTACGGACAATAGAGGAGGGCCCGGACAGGGTAAGACGTCACGAGGAAGTAATGGGAGGAATGTACCTCCTCGTCAACACGCTTCTGCAGGAGTCCCTTGATTTGGAAAACTCGCTAAATCCAGCCGAAGGAGGAGATACTGTGTTGGAGAGTCAGGATGACGAGTTTGAAGAGGGAGAGATCAAGGAGGCATTCCGCGCAGAGGAGTATAAAGGGATTTACCTAGAGTTGGGACTTCTCTTATCCTGTGAGATGCGTGATAGAGGCGCAAGCCATAGGGCGCAGATGATGAGGGATCGCTACCTAGTAAGGGACGGTCATCTCTTCGTAAGAAGGAAAGTAGGGAACCCCAGGCGGGCGGTATGTGGTCGCAACCATCAGATCGACGTCATAGCAGCACTTCACGATGGCATTGTAGGCGGACACCGGAAAATTACTGCCACATATGCCAAAATAAGTGAGCTATACTACTGGGACAGGATGATGGAGATGGTTGGGAAATTTTGTCGTTCCTGTGTGCCGTGCCAGGAGCAGTCTCGTCTAAGGCCAGGAGAGCCACTGCATCCAAGGCTGGAGAGAGAGGTCGGGGCCGTAGTACACCTTGACCTATTGTTCATGCCCCTTGGAGATCATGGCTACAACTATATCTTTGATGCGCGCGATAACCTATCTGGCTTCGTAGATGGACGGGCAATCCGTACGAAGACTGGGCCAGTTCTGGTCAGCTGCATCGAGGAGTATTACCTACGCTGCCCGTTCGTTAGGGAATTCGTAATGGACAGGGGGTCGGAGTTCACCTGTCAGGAGGTGCAAGAGTTGCTGTCAAGATATGGGGTAGTAGCTAACTACACCACGACCGCCCACCCACAGGCAAATGCTCGGGTGGAAAGGGGTCATAGTACCATTACGACTCTATTAGCAAAATGGACCGAAGGTAAGCCCAGCCAGTGGCCAAGGTATCTGAGGGCCGCCTTCTTCGTTGAGAACATCACAGTGAAAAGGACCACTAAGTACGCGCCGGCCACACTGTGGTATGGAAGACATGCTACCTTTCCAATCGAGAGCTTCCTAAAGACTTGCAGGCGTCAGGACTGAGAGGTAAATCTATCTTTCGAAGAATTGCTCGATATTCGAGCTCGGCAGGTGGGTGCAATTGAGGAAAGGGTCCAAGAGGCATCCGACCAGGTAGAGAGGAGCCGTATGAACGATAAGGCTCGCTGGGACCAGTCGGCTCGTGTAAGAAAGGTACCCTTGGTAGTTGGGGACGTCGTGCTCTTGTATGATTCATCCCTGGAAAAACAATGGTCCAGAAAACTGGACAAGAGGTGGTTGGGTCCCTATCGGATCGTGCGATGGGGAGAGTTCGGCGCATACCAGATCGAGGAGTTGAATGGAACAGAGTGGAAAGACTAGGTGTCAGGGACGAGGTTGAAGAAATTCGTGGCCAGAGAAGAGGTGAGATAGGCAACCCAGTCCCCTTAGAATAAAATAGATGCGTTTGTAGATTAGAAGGATTGCTTGGGGGCATGTGCTTGGTTTGGCCTGAGTGTGTCTCTTCGTCGCCTATTTGCTTACCCTGGCACGTACCGGTTGTCTCCTTCGCCTGTTGTGCAGGACCGACTTGCAGCCATGCCAAGAGGAGGGAGGGGGACATGGCCACCGCGACGGCCGGCGGGAGCATCAGGAGGACCTGGACGACATGGGCCTTACCGTCGAGCAAGCACTCCAGTATATAACGATGGGAATATCGAGTTATTCATGGATGAGTTCTGGGGCCACGCTGACCATATGGGGTGGACCGTGACCCAGACGATCGAGAGGCTGAGGGGAGTTGGCAGGTTTATGGAGCCCATCGCACAGATTCGCAGGGAGACTCGAACGAGGTCGGAAGTGGAGGCGCGGATGCAGGAACTACGACCCTCGCCTGTAGGACCTGATGGCAAGCCTATTCGATTGGAGATTGGGAATGCAGATGACTTCATCCCAACATTCGAGCAATTAATGCAGGACCAGGCAATACTGCGAAGCGAGTGGATGACGACGTTACCCCTGTGGACCGAAAAGGCGGAAAGACCTTTGGCCAGACGGATCAGGGATATGGCCCGAGATTGGGATGGTTGTAGAGCGCACTTGAGGGCGGCATTCCGACAGCCAGAACCACCTCGGCCTAGAGTCGAAAGGCGCTTCAGGAGCGGTAGGCAGAGGGAACCTGAGCCCGCTGAGGACCGAACCTCGTGAAGAGGACGGAACGCGCTCGCTAGGCGAGAGGAGGAAACGGTACCTGAGGCAGAGGAGCGAGGAGAAGGCCCCGAGTGTGAATTGGAACCAGTAGAGTTCCATCGCTATCTTGGACCAGGACTGGGAGGATCTCCGCAGCACACGCAGCGGAAGGTACCAGCGTCCGGAGGGTCATTGCAAGCATTAGAGGCACATCTGGACGCTGCCCAGTGGAGAGATCCGCCGATGAGTGAGAGGCGCATTGAGGCCGTCGCGGAAGTACCACAAGAGGACGTTCCAAGCCCTGAACAAGAGGAGAGGCCGAGTGCTACGAAAAGCCGGATTGGGGATGAGATCATAGACGTTGAGGAGGATATTCCCCCTCAGGGACCACCCGTGGGGCTGAGGCTCGGTAGTCCAACCGAGAGCCCGCCAAATACGAGGAAGGAAGTACAAAGGGGGCAAGTCTCACTCGTGGTACTCGAGACGGGCCTATCGTCGGCAGGAATGGAGGCAAGTAAGGCGGAGGGGGCCAGTCTGAGGAGGGAGGCAGACAGTCTGATTGATAGCTATCTGGCCGCCCACGCCCTGAAGCAGCCTAATCTGGAAGAAGTTATACCTATGGAGTCACCCCGGGAACCAGGTCAGGCCGAGAGAGAGGTGGAAACGGGGATCTCAGGGGAAGTCGAACAACGCATGGCAGAGGACGTACCAGCGAAAGAAACGGCTGGGAAAAACGGGCTAGAGTGGCAAGACGTTGGGAGGAAATCCGGCAGGAGGGGCAAAGATTGGAAACAGCAGGGGTGCTCCCAAGTCCGCCACCGCCCTATAAACCATATGGGCTCCGGGAGATGTGGGGAGAGTTTCTTGCTCGTCATGGCGAAGGGTTGATGATCCCAGGCAAGGCAGAGGTCGAAACCTCATAGAGAGCTGATGAGTATTTGGATCAGAGGATTCGCTCCGTATCCAAGACCTCCTTCAACAGGTATAKGATGTTGGAGGCGGATCTGAGAGGGAAGGAGCTGCAGGAAGCAGGGTTGGAGTCACGGTTGGGGACCCTTGAGGCAGAAGTCCGTGAGCTCAGGGCTCTGGTGACTAGACAGGCCGCCACCATCTTGGAATTGAGGCAGCAACTTCATGGCAGCAAGGATGAGGCGGAAGGAAGCAGGCCAGGGGGGCAGATTCAGCCAAGACATGGCGTATCGGAGCAGCCAGCGGTGGCGGAGCCTCAGCAAGAGGCACCTATGGGAAGAGTCATTTTGGAGCCTGAGGAGGCAGAGGCCAAGAGGAAGGCTGAGAGGGAAGCCTTCGAATTCAGAGCCCCTACGGAGCTTGCGGTGCTACCCACGATGGCTGCGGACCGTGCCATGCCACCGTCACTTGGGGAGAGACTGCCCTCGGCCAGTGATAAGCCTCCCCAAGGCTCGACAGGAGGATCCTTGGACGTGCTACTGGAAGCAGTCCACTCTATGCAGAAGGATGCTGGCTTGTTTTCACCAGAGTCCAAGTTGGAAGAGCCCCTGGAGACCGAGATGGGAAGTGCAATGGAGGGCATCATCGCAGGCAGGCCCCAGAGGTTGGATACTCCTGACTATGAGCCAGAAGGAGCAAGGGCGCAACTAGGGCCCAGTCCGCGAGAGTCGGAGACAGGATCTGAGAGACCCAGAGATGTGCCTCAGTGCCATAAGTTGGACGGAGAAGCCAGGGAAACCCCATCGCCAGCAGGGCCCCAGCGGAGGAAGAAAAGGCCTAGGAAGTCGTTTGACTCGACCTGGTTCTATTGTACGAAGGAAGAGCACAGGGCATTGCAGTGCCTCAGATTCCTAAAGGACCAGGCAGACGGGAAGGTCTCGGAGTATGATGGGAAGATGTATGATAGGCAGGGTAGAGTGGTGGAGCGAGYTGTAGATGGGGGTAGGGCTCAGTTGTACAGGCAGAACCAGGAGGAGATGAGTGAGTAGGGTCTGGTTCATGATATTTCTTTGACGATTTTGCTATTACTTAGGCAGGGTGGACACCTACGACGTTGAGTGTGTAGATGGGACCTACCGCATGGGATGGCCGTTGCAACTAGGATCATGTAAAATAGGGGGCGTACACTAAGTGACAATAAAATACTGAATTGTTTTGGGGACTTCTTGTGCAGATAACCATGTACTATATTCAGGGTGGTGTGAGTTGTTTTGTGTGGGTCCTGAGACGAGGTTATCCTGTGTATTCTAGGATGAGGTATCTCATCCCTGAGTGTATATTTGAGTTGAAGTGAGGGTTGAGACTATCCCTTGTACATGACGATCACTCTCACTCTCACATGTGTGGTTTTATCCTGATGTGTGGTGGATGTTGGATGTATGAGTGACATCTTGAATATCGTGTATCTTATGAATGGAATGTATGTGAACTGCCTACCCTTYGGTATACGTGGGCGCTCTGCCCGCGGGCAGGTGACAGGGTCGGGTATAAGGAGGGGAAGCGCAGTCTGTCCTTGTGRAAGTGTGAGAATCCTAAGGGATTTGTGAGTCCTTGGGACTCAGATGCTTGTCATGCCGAATGTTTGTTGTTGAGTTGTGATGAGGACCCATAAGTTGGTCTCTCAAGTTTGAGTTGTGCTATGGTAGGGGTGCCTGGTTTTTTGAGAAGGCAACCCATTGCATGCTGGGGGACCTATGGGGTGAGACCTCCCTCGTATGAAGGGTGGTTACCAGATCGGTRGCATGGTAAGCAAGGTTGGTATGATAAAGTCTGACAAGAAGGACCATGTTTGTTGCTTGGCAACTGTGGAGAGTTTGGAGAGGTTGCAAATAGTTCTTTTGGGGGATGTTACTGGGATGCGTGGCTTCCTGCTCTGATCAAGTAAGGAAGTCACGGCCTTGTGCAACTGGCGGTGATTCTGTTCGTAAATGTGGAGAGGTTGCCACGATCCCCTGTGTTGTCCCACAGAGGGCTGGTAAATACCTTTTATGTGTGACAGACCTCTGCGTAGTCCCGCGGTGGGCCTGTATTGTTGCGACCCACCGTCCAGCCACATGTGCTAATCCTGGAACATGTATGAGAATACCAAGCTAACGGTAGAGTTTAGCATCACTAGGGCGCAACCCCTAGTGTCGGCTGCTGATCGGAACAACCTGACCAGCGGGCCTACATCGGGCCTAGGGAGTAAAGACTTAAAGGGGTGTGGCCACCTAGGAGGGTTTTACTCCTGCGGACCGGTGTGGGATAAGAGTCGAGTCGAGTCTTTTTGCGTCCTGATTAAATGCTTATCAGGAGAGAAGCCTATCGTGGCGCAACCTGCGAGGTCACTACCTCTAAACTAACAAATGCGGTGGGCCGTGGATCTGGCATGATCACCCAGACTACGGTGGGCCAAGATGGAGACCTAACCTCCCTGTACTAGACTGCAAGAGGTGTATTGAGGTAAGATATATATACGTACATATATATACTTTTTGATTGTGAGGAGTATTGGAGGGAGGCGAAAAAAATGCCGTCTAAGGTCTCGGTTAGGGCCCGCGCCCTTGGTCAAAGTCCCGCTCGCAGGGCAGAGGCCAATGACACTTAACGAGAAGCCGGCGGTTGTCTAGGAGAAAAGGGGAGAGGACGGGTAAGAGGGGCCGCTGAGACTTATGCTGTAGTACGTATGTCTAGTACACCGGTGTCCTAATGTCAGGGCAATGGAGACCCAGTTTGGAACCCTGGCGGCATATAGTTATAAGGGCTTGGATTGTTGGAGGCCTCAACCCTGAGTCTGTCGGTTGATCGGATTGGTTCCTGTCTCGTCAGCATTTGGAGTTATGGAGGAATTTGTAGCTTTCGATTTGGCGAAGCGACGGGGACGTCGCTTAATATGGTCCGGTAAGCTGTCGGCGCGAATACCCTGACAAGGGTATCCGCCCTTGTTTTTGCAAGTGACCGGAAGTACGAGTAGAGGTCTAAAGTGTACTGCGCGAGACGCGCCTAGGTCTGTTTGGTTACATAGGTAAGTTGCTTGATTAGAGTAGGGCGGGAGTGGGTGCGCGGGATTAAGGCGCGTGCACAATTTTTCTGCTTTTGATTATGTAACCGGCATAGTTGGCCGACCTAGCTTTGATTATTAGAAGTAAGAGGTGTCCTTGGTAGGGATAAGTGACCGTAGTAGTTTAACGTACGACGTAGGGGGCGAGGTGGCCACGGCGCAAAGAGGGCAAGCCGGCGTAGGAGCCTAGCGGTAGCGTGCCTAATGGGAGGTAGGAAAGAGGGCTGGGGCCGCGTCCCAGGCCTAGGGGCTGCGCCGCACCGGTTCATATGGAATGCCGCGCAGGCCAATACCAGGCTTGGGCTTAGCCCTATAGGTTACGGTGTCGGACTGTTACAGCGGAGATACGGGGAGCGAGGCTAGCCGGCCGCAGAGCGGAGCAGCGTGAAGAAAAGCAGCGTGAAGAAAACCGAGGGGTTGAGGGTCCCACGAGATTATCCCCCTTGTTTTTTTTTGCTGGGGAGTCCGACAGCAGGCCCGCGAGGCAGGACCGAGGCTAGGTTCCGATGGTCCTCCTCCACCTCCGCCGTTTTCCTAGGCTTTCTAAGTTCTTATCTTTTTATTTTTTTGATTTTTATTTATTATTATTATTATTATTATTATTTTTTTGTTTTGTCCCATATGGGATGCAGCCCGGTGCCGGTACCAGGGCCGGCTGGGAAGCCCAGCAGCCTAGTTCTGTGGATACAACCACGAACTGCTGGGATACTAGTATCGGGTTGCAGTCTGCGGGACATTCGTTGCAATTGGTACGACATAGAGAAAATTAGCAGGGCCTTTCCCATGACCGATAGTGGAGCCCCGGGACTTCAGATCGGGTGATTGGCAAGGCCACACTCATACAGTTTGGCTTGGAATGCTGCTGGTGGGACTGCGCCTAGCATCAGGTCCTACGAAGGAGAGGAAACCAACTGCACCTACCCGCACTTGGGGGCGAAGAGCACTTGCCGAGCCCGAGGCTCCGGTGCCCAAGACGAGCACACCAAGGGGATCATGGTAGAATGCTATTTAGAGTCGGCCGCTGGTTCAGGTAGGCTTTCAAAGTTGTATGATGCTTAGCTACCGCGCAACGGTGGCTTGACAGGGAGGAGGAAGTAGAAAAGGAAAAGCGGGGAGTGACGAGGAGAAAGAGAGGGAGAGTGGACGAGGTGCGACTGTGCACGGTAAAGGGAGGGTTGTCTCTAGGCGCAGACGGGAAGCAGCGGGGCAGCGCAGTGAAGACTAGGCAGGGAGCGATGGGCTTCAACTGTAGGAATTTAGTAAAGAAGGTGATGAACGAACCCGGCTGGGATTCTGCACCAGGTGGAGCCAAGATAGAGATGGCGGAAGACTGGCTGAGCGTGGACATGGAGGGGGTGGCTGCCTGATTCTTCGCAGATCTAAGAGGGGAGAGGACCGGATATGGGGTTTTGGGATGAGGCGAAACAGGATCTAACATCGGAATTAGTGGAAAATCAGTAATGAGTGAGGGTAGCAGGAAAAGGGCTGCGCGGAGTTGGATGGATGAATGGATATGGTGGAGTAAGAAGTGAATGATTCGCTCGATTCTCAACAGAATCGGACGGACCAAGACCCATTCCTGAGGTCTTGGACCTCTGCGAGCTCGAATCTGCCTTCAAATTGATGGATGGTTGAGTAGAATGGAAGCTACAAGGGGAATGGAGTGCGCGGAGGCGTCGTATTCGTTAACATGGCGGAGCGAAAAATGGCATATCTCGCCCGTCCCCACACAGAATTGACCAAGATAAGATTTGAAGTGGGGGTTTTGATGCACTTCGGATGTGATGGCTGGGTTGGAATTTGGGTCTAAGGAGTGGGTTGGCCGGTACGAGTGGTAGGGACTGCGCGGCCACTTACGGGAAGGTTCGGGGGGGAAAGGAAATGTATCTGCCCGCGTCTTAGCGAAAGATTCACTCTCATTTTGCACGTTCGATGAGCACATCGGTCGGACCTACGATTGCTGCCCACCTGGTTGTCGTAGCCGACCTTCGTCAGGATCTCTCTGGGTTTGCAGCACGTGCTGGTTGTCTTCGTAACCAAGGTAGCCATTGGCCACGGTACTTGGTCGCCTCCAAGGGGAAGGTTCCTCGTCACCGACTGATTG